CGTGAAGGCTGGACTCGAACCGCTGAAGCATCGACCATTTCTGGCCGGCAACTTTCAGCGTCATTAAGCCGCTGCACCACCACGTCCCCATATTTATATTTCAGCTTGTTCATTTAACCAGAGCCTCAATACACTGGTTTAGAAACGAGAAAACTGGTATTTGATGCTTAGCTAATGAAATATAGAACTTGAGGGAAACAGTATTGGCTTATTTATGATGCCCATCAGCAAAGCTCTCGATGATTTCTGTCAGCAGCTTCCTATAGATTATAGATGATAGCAGTCTCTGTGATAAAAGCCTTGTGGAATACCATATGTCAACTGCCAGAGGGCCAAGCTAGAATTACCAATGATGACCCATTCACTTCATTCTGGTAAAAAAATGGAATCACTCCATAGACAAAGCTAACCCCTGCAAGCTGTTCAAACAGGCTAAAAGAATTAAATTATTTGTTACATAAAAGCCATGGTAAGGTCAAAAAGTACAGAGAAGGAAGATTCCCTGCCAAGTTCCTCTATGCAAATAATTGACAAAATAGCTAAATCTGGTGAAAAGGGTGAAAAAAGGATGTCTTATCTAGATACAGCACTCATTGTTTTGCTACCCCAAATTCAGTCAGATTTTTTGGAACTGGCCCAAATAACATCTGTCCTGGTTAGGGCCAACTGTATTTTGCTGATTGACCCTCACACAAAGACACACAAATTCATTCATTCATTGATTCATTCATTGATTCCAACAAGATGTAGATATCCCACTTTGGCATAATGGTCCCTTTGGTCAGTCTTATCACCCTAGATAATAAATTTGGACTCCTATATTTTTATTAATGGCAAATAACATTTCTTTCATCACCATGAAAATGGGCTGCTTGGTATGCTTGCTCAGATTTAGCAGAGTCTAGCATAATGTACATTCTAAATGATCTGCATAGCAGGAGCATAGGGACCTTTCAAATAGCAAAAGAGGGCATCAGAGATCAACTTTGTCAATAGCTGCAGTCAACCACTGCTTGCAGAGATCATCAAATCCTCAAAATAGTGCTAGCATCTTACTTACAATCTTTTTCTGTCCCTGAGCTTTCCAGAATCCAACACCTCTTAAGGTACTGTACATCTTTTCCAAGAAAGTCTTGTTAGGTACTGACTATGCTAAGTATCTAGTCTTGAAACCTCCTTTGGGCCAAGTATGCTCATCAGGGAGCTAGAATAGATAATAGCTGTCTCTTCAGAAACAAATTTGGTGGAATAAAACTTGTATCTGGAGTATAGCCATTAAAAGATTCATTAAAAAAAATAGTCCAAACAGAAAAAGAGGGAAAGTAGCATCAAATATAAAATAGTGCATTTACATGCAGACAAATCCACAATTTTGAGAATGAAAGCTCTGTTGAAAGATCTGAGTAAGAAAAGGAAGAAATAAGAATGGTGTTGCAGGGGCTGACTAGAGGGCATTATCCTGGAACAGATGATGAAACATTTATACAAGCAATCTACAGCAGTAAGGGCTTTTTTCCAACTATTTTGACATCTGCTGGAGGTCTAACTCAACTAAAAATGGAACATCCAATAAATGTTTTGATTTGTCTTGCTGTCAAGTCTATCTCTCAGAAGGTATAAGAAGGGTCAAGAAGAACTATTGTCCTCAAACCTGACCAATGGGGAAGAATTGGTTGACAATGAATGCTGGCAGAAGCACTGGGGAAAAGTGATGCTATTACTTTGGAATTTGATAGCAAGAGCTATGAAAATGAAATGTAATTTGTATTTTTGGACTCTAGCAAGCTGATTTCAAAAACTTCAGACAAAAGTTGGATAAGATCAGATATCTAAAAATCCTGAAGGAAAAAAAAAATAAGGCGGTACAGGAGTGTCAGAAAACTGAAATATAGACCTAACAATGGTCTTTTGGAGTGAGGTTAGAAAGTGATCTCCAGTTAGTTGTTCTGTTTTGAACATCTCTTAAACATGGTTTCTTTGGAACTCATATCATTCCTGATTCTTCAGCATTGACCTTAGCTCTGATTACTCTATTACTGACTTCATTCAGTCCTGATTAGTGACTTGATCACAGCTTCTGGTTCCTGGTTGTTCACTTCCCTCTGCTCACTTTCTTTGGCTAAGTGCTGACAGTGTGTCTACTATGCAGAACCTTCACAATTCCATCAGATTCTTTTTTAACTCTCTGTAAATGGAATTGAAAACCAAAGAGTAATCACTGCCGTGCAGTCCATGAATCCTATGGTCAATGGTCCAAACATAATAGCAGAAGCAGACACAGGACTGGAGTGCTAAACTGAACCATGGACAGAACTTGACGAGCTGCTTTCTATTGAGTAGGCAAGTTGCTCCATGTAGCCCAGTAAGATGTTGTACTGGAATCCCACAACAAATGTTTAGGAGCTAACAGTTACAAACCAGTCCAACTGTAAAATTCTTAGCCACTCCGCCTCCACAGAAACAAGATTCTTCCAGGTCCATGAAGGCTGATTGAAAGAGGATAGGATATAGTTACAGAAATCTTAGCAAAAATATTGTTTTACCTTTAGAATCTAATTTAATTCCCAGGTTCCTAAGGTTGTGACTCTTTCAGTCTCTTCCTCATGGCCCCCATGTAAACTGGTGAGGAAGCCATTCTCTTGGCTGATAAAGGAGAAACATTCAGATGGTTAGGATGTGAATCTCTCTGAGGCTCTAGGCATACCATTACACCAGCAAAATAAGAAATGATAAAGGTAAAGCCTCTGTCAAGTCAAACTTGGCTCTTAGTGTCTACATGGACATGTCGTTTTTGTTTTTTAATTTATTTTTATAATATTATATTGTGAAACATACACAGTACATTATATTATTTTGATACAGTGGTATTTGTACAGTATTGACTAAAGATTATTAACACTCTAATGTAATAATTTTACACCACTGAAGATAAAAAGATAGAAATTTAATACTGATAGAAGGGTCAGTATTAATTATCATTTAAAGTGTCAGTGTTAATGACCATAAGATTGTTTAGCTTTTTCATTCAGAATTGAATATAATGTTAAAAAATTGGACACATCCATGTAGTTAATTTGGCAAAAATACAGATTCTTTTCCCAACTTCTTAGTCTTGTCTACAACTTTGGGATTTTACATCCAAGTACTAGCTGAATCTAACCCAACTTAGATTATTCAAGATCAAAAAAGCCCTTTTCAAGTGCTTGTTCACTTGAAAGACCAGTAAGAGAGAAGAAATGGGGGTATCAAAAGAAATCAGTTTGGTTGCACAAAGTGCTTTCTAATAAGCAGAGATTGCAAGGGACAAATATAGGAGATGGAAAGAGATATACTGCAGTCACCCAAACCTTCAAGGAAGGATCAGCTAAGCTAATCACATCTGATTGTGGTGGATGGTGAAAAAAGAACCAAAAGAGCTTCTTTGACTTATTAGGAGCAAGAAAGGCAAGGAAGTGTAGGACTGCTGCTAAAAGTAGATGATGAAAGATAACAAGGAGAAGATGGAATAATATATTTTTTCTTCAATTAGCTGCTGAAGTTACAAACCAAATATTTTTATGATTGATATATGGTTTGGAAATGATCTTGGATGATGACACTACCACATCATCTTAGTTGTTACCCTTCTACAAACACTACAGATGCACTACAACCTGAGGGCAGACCTCAGGATTAGAATAAGCCTGCTCATAGGGAACTGCAGATACTTCAAAGTGTTTAAAGATACAGTACAGCCTAGAAGCAAGACACTGCCAGATATAGGTGCCATCTTGATGGATCATTGGTTTCTAAAGCAGAACACTCTTTAACAACTTATATTCTCTTCTATTTATGTGACCCAACTAAGTTGATAGTGTAGGAAGATTAATGCATTATAAAACGCACTTGGCAATAGCCTGGGTATCAAGTCCATGTTTATTGACTAAACTTACATAATTGATGTGATGACTTACATAATTGTATAGAACTTACATAATCAGGCCACAGCTCTGAAAATAAAATTTTAAAAAACTGCATCTGATGAAGCAACTCCTTGTCTATGAATACTCATGTATAACAAAGGAATTTGTCATTAAAGTTATATGGAAGAATATTTTTTGCTTTAGTAGGCAAATGGTGTTATTTCTTGGATTTCAACATTTAAAATGGATCTGTATGTTCAATGCTGAAAACATATTACTGCCCACCCTCTCTATACTATGATTGCCAATTAGTATTCTTACTCCAGAATTTACAAGAATACACTATTGAGATATGTGAGTCAGCCTTGAGGATAAACATTCAGCTTTTTGAAGATATTTCTGGGAGCATCTCCTTGGGACTAAGCTTCATATTAGGAGGTTATAGCTCAGTATTTAGTAACGATCTTCTGTACCAAAAGAAGTAGCAATAAGAAAACTATAGATAACATAGCCAAGGAAATGACCAATTATAAATGCACCATGACCTACCTGGATGCAAGTGTATTAAACAGTTTGCCATTGTGTTATACCTTAACAAATCACTGATTTGATCTATTATATATTGTTGCTGTTTTAGGCCAGTTAGCATTTTTAAAGAAAGAAAAGAAGAGCAAATTTGTATGCATAAAGGAAAACTTCAAAAATTGTTAGGATTCATCCTATAAGGGAAATATAACTACCTCATTTGTTTATCACTACATAGAACAGCTTGTAATTGAATTCATGTGCCTCTGCCGCCATCTCTGTGATTGTCTTCCAAGAGACAATGTCATTTTTGGTTGCTATGCAATTTCTTCTTAGCAAATTGAACTGTATCATAGGGCAGGCTCTTCCATAATGAATTCTGTTCTATTTAGGCACTTCTGCCCCCTATTTATTCCTGTCCTTGTTGTCATTGGAACCCAGAATTAAAGTCTTTTATCAGAGTTCATTTTCAAAGAAGATAGTTTCAGGACACTTGCTGTGGCTGATGTCTGTCTCTGCAAGACTTGCTGAGCTCCAGCTCACCATTAACTATATATGGCATGATTGAAGGATGACTACCCTCTGCAATATATACTGTATGTGTATTTTAGTACTAGAGTTCACCTGGAATATGTCACTGCATTTTAATATTTTGGGTCAATACTGACACCTCTGGCTGCTGCTGCTGTAAGCTATATTGTCCATAGTCAAGAATGACAACTATAAACATACATCTCTTGTGAAAATGACTTGGATTTATATCTATGGATATGTTAAAGTATGTCTGACTTGCACAAGTCCCTGTTCAACCACAAAGTTCTCTGAGTGACTGAGCAGTTGTTCTCTCTTACCTCAACAAGGTTGTTGTGAGATTAAAAAGAGAGGAGAGGAGATGTCCATAAATACCATCCTGAGTTCCAAATGAAAATTGGTATATGAATGCTGCTCTAGGCTTTAGTTTCATGCTCCAGCCTGAAAACCCTAGAAGACAAACATAAAATAAGAATCTATTCTGACTTCATTTATATGTGTGCATATGGTTTAAAGAAGTCTTCAGTCTTTTGAGGTTCATGTGCACTATGACACCTATCTTTAAAGGTTAAATATAATTTTTCCATATTTACACCATAATTTATTTTCAATGAGAGTTTCACCATTACATGTGATGTACAAATTGGGCCCTGTTTCAACGTGTTCAGCATGTGTCAGCTAAGTCCAGAAATGTTCCCCTTAGTTGCTTTTGGGAGATGATGTAAATTCTTCTGTGTTGCAGAAGACTGTCGGCTCTTCGTTTACTGAAATTCTTCTGTGTGCTGTGGAAATTTATTGGTTTTCTAATTTGTTAATGAAAGAGAGTTAAGTTACTAGTATTCTTTGGTAGTTTCATGGTTTTATATTAATATCATCAGTAGAGAAACAAACTGGAAATGGCAAAGTTGTTGGTATGCAGCCAAGGCAGACAATAGATGCTTTTGGATGCTATGTCAAACCACAGTTTAATGTAATGAGGGCGAATCACAGTTATCTTCAGGACTGCATACTTCTTTTGTAGCCTAGCCATGATGAATGCCAAAACATGGAGTTTTATCTGAACTCAACAAATCTCAATGGTGCATTATGGTTTTTCAGAACAAGACAACTCCAAATTATTAATTTATTTAGTTATTTATAAATCAAACTTGTATGCCACCCATCTCACTGTACAAGTGACTTATAAAAGCATAAAAACAGTTAAAAACACAAAACAAAATTTATAAGACAACAAATGGAGTTAAAAAGTGGAGAGAGCATCCTCAGAGGACTAACCACCCCCAGCGTCGCGAGTCCCCATTAGACACCCAAGCTAGTCTTAAGGCTCTTCCAGAAGGCCAAAAGAGTGGGGGCCAATCTCACCTCAGGGGGTGAGATATTCCACAGGGTGGGGGCCATGGCAGAAAAGGCTCTCCTCCTAGACCCCACCAGCCAAAATTCTCTACCCGACAGGGTCTGCAACATGCCCTTCCTGCCAGACTGCGTGGGATGGATTGATGTAACCGATGTAAATACTGGGTTATAAAGCTGATTTGCTTAAACTATAGGTAATATTAAATGCTATTCAGGATTCAGACAATATCCTAAACTATGATTAATTGAGATTAGAAGCAGAAATTAATCTAAATTTTACAGCAATAATGTTGGAACAGATTCATCAATAGCTATGGTGAAAATATTCCTGTCAGTTGCTAATTCACGCTAGCCATGTTAAAGAAATCTGTGCTATATTCTTAAAAACTTGATATAACATTCAGATTTTTTTCCTGTATTGATCCAGCTGGAGCTATATGTATGTATATCATTCTTATAGAGAAAGGTTTCCATTTCCAACATGGAACTAAAACATTGCTGAAGCCCTTTTTTTTGTTCATTTTACTATTCGGAATAGCAATGAATCCATTCTCTGTTTCTGTCTTTCTCTTATATAGTTTGAAGAAGGAGTTTTGGATGCTTGCCTATACTTGATGGACAGAGCACAACTGGACCTTGCTGGCCGAGGGAATCCTGTCAAAATCAGCCGTGTTGGCTCTGCTATGGTACGCAGTAAGCATATACTGTGTGCAGTATTTGGAATCAATTTATGACTTTTTCTTAGTCTACTTAAATATATAATAGGAGTATGTGGATTGGGATAAATTTGTTCTATTTTATGACTTACTTTGCAAGGAAGGCCTCTACTTTGGTCATTTTATTAAAAATCTGGTTGCCAATTCACCAGTCCACTAGAGTGGGGCTGTTGGCTTCTCCCTCTTTTTCACGCAAAAATGCCATTCATGTTTACATAATGGGTGGCCTATGCAGAGGTTGCTTCTTTGTGTGTGTGTGTGGCTTCCTGGAATGACCATGTGACCACATAAATGTGCTCTTATTGGAAAGGCTCAGTAACCTTTTAGGAAGATCCAAGACAAAATTCTTTAAAATACCTATGTGGCATAAAAATATGCCATATGCACTAAGTTATGGTCCCCATGGCTTGTTCTACAAATAGGAATAGTGAACTGATATTCCCCCAGTGGAGAATCCTTAAAAAGTGTTCTAGATATATTTAGATCTTCTGCCCTGGGGCAGCATATCTTGGACTATTTCTGTATGCAAAGCATTTAATAATCCATCAATTGTTTCATCTTCCACAGATTTCTAAAAATGTATCCTTTAGGCAATTTTCTAAACTTATTTTGCGCATGGTAGATGAAAGACTGGGAGACATTTGCAGCTGAGCATAAGTTAACAATTCAGTTGTCCACAATAGAAGACCCACACACTGGAGCACACTAACTGCATTTTCTAGTAGAACTGCTTATGTGCAGCTAACCAATTAATGCTAGAAAAATATTTTTTGCGGCAACTGTGTGTTGCTGCAGACTTTGTTATCTCAACAGTTGTTTTGTTTGCAATAACCTAATCTGGAAATACCATGAACTACACTAAAACCTCTTCTCTATAGTCCAAACTAACCCCAACACTAACCATGTCTTAATAAACCATCTCTAGTTGTTATCGTTATCAGGGGTGAACATGGAGGGGAGATCTAACCTTTTCCTCTGATACTTCATTTCTGAAGAAAACTCTTCCTCTGTTATTAGTCTGGGGTGGATGAACTCCTATTGGCTAACAACAGCTTAGGGAAGAGATTTTCACTGGGATGGTGGTGGGGAAAGTTAAACCGTCCATTCCCATGATCTACAACCATAAAGAATATTGCTCCCAGTTCATGGTGGTATTATTTAAACATAGACATGACTTTATTTATTTAATAGGTGCATATCCTGCTTTTATATGTGATAACACTTCTTACATCACATCAGATTTGTCTTCCCATAGCTAATCTTAATTTTAAAAATCATTAAATTATTTTAGTATAGTGTGGCATTTTAGTATTGCATTGAGTTTGTCTGTTAGTACCTTATAGGATGACAGAAGAAAATATGATGAAATTCCTATTCATGTATTGTAATCATAACATGCAGACACTATTTCCTAAAGGGAGAAGGATGAACTTTTCAGGAGAGCCCTAACAAATTCTCTCTTCTACACAGCTGTTCAAGGCATAAGAATCCTGCCTTTCTTTGCATCTGATCATCCTTGCATCTCTGTTCTTGGCAAGTTACTAGTTGTCTCAGTTCACTGTGAATATAACTATTAATCAGTTTATCCATTTATCTGATCAGCAATATTTTAAGGATATTCCTCAGAACTTTTGTGGCTCTTGAACCACTTCAAGATTGCACTGCCCAGTTTCAGAGGCAAAAGTGCAAACATTCATTAGTGTAATTTTCCTCTTTTTTGTTTTGTTTTTGCTAAGATAAGTAAGACCATTTCCATATTGCACTCCCATTTTAGTGCAGTGGGATGTGAATGCTGTTGATTTCTACCATTAACCTTTCCCCAACCAGGACCATCAGTTTTAGCTCTGCCTTCCAGTGTCACATAGGCCTAACCTGCATCACTTATATGAAAGTCCAGCTCCGACCCACATTACTGAATTTTAATACAGACTTGAGTTGCTATAGCATTGTAGCTAAGAATCAGGAGGTCCCTGTCTTGAACCTCCATTAACATGAAGTCAGCAAATAGCATGAGGTCAGCTGTTCTTTGTCATGTTCAGCCTCCATCCTCAAAGCTGCAATAGCTATGATATAATAGTAGTATTATTTGTTGTTATGTAAGAATGGACTCAAATTATCTGTAAGCATTTTATGGGTGTGAAATAGTGTCGTGAAAGTAGTTCATTCTGAAAAAAGTGTATGATGATTAGAAGTTTAATCCAGCTTTCTTCTTATCTTCCAAATTTGTGGTTTGGTAGCAACAGTGTGGGTTTTGGAGTGTATGACAAACATTTGTAATATAAAAATACCACCTAGGCTGGCCTATTTTTCAAGACAGCCAAGGGTCTCTACCTAAACCCTGTTAGACCTACTAAATACTTATCTTCTCCAGCATTGGGGTTCACAGGATGTCGATTTTCTAATTAGAGACTAGTAGTTAATCCAGCCAAAAGCTTTTCAATGAGAGTCGCGATTTATTTGACAAGAATGTAGCAGCTCAGTATTAACATAATTGCAAGATAGAAAGCAAAGGAGCTTTTGTGCATTGCCTCCGCTGATTTGGTTCAAATTGCTGGAAGGAAATGCATTGCTCACTAATAGCTATCCATTTAGTCATTAGTCAGCAAAACTCTTACTTCATGCAGCCTCACCTCCAGCAAACGTAGACAAGCTAAGTCTTGCTTTCATGATGGGCAACCCACAGTGGACCTAGTTATTTGTTTTTACTCACCGCTTAGATTAGAAAATTTAGGCTGAAGTGAGTGAGATTGTGAGGGGATAACATTGGAACAAATAATATGAATTAGGTGACCATTTTTTTTCTTCTTGTAAAATACTCTGTTTCTTTCTAGAAACGTTTGTTTTCTGAAATACTATAAATTTGGACCTGAATTGCATAACTGCTTTGATGTGATGTGGAGCCCGTCAGAAGCTGAAGCTCAGTGTATAATGGAGGAATTATGTAGGAATATCCCCATCCAAGATGTTTAAATTTTATGTCCTTATATTGTACACTCAAGCTTGTCAAGAGAAATGCAGGTGAATTTATGCTGGCAGTTATGCCTTGACACTATGGGCAGCACAGTCTAGGAGGCAGAATTATGGCTTGTGGCCTTAAACATAACAGAGCCACTGAAGCTGTTGCTGCATAGAAGCTACCCTGCACGTTCTTTTTAATGCATTATATCAGACAGAAACAGATGTTTTATAATCCATGCGTAGATTATCCTTCCACCTATTGCTTTTCAAATATATTGGACTACAGATCTCAAAACCCCCAGCAGCAGAACTATTTACCATGTTAGCTGAGAATTTGAGGAGTTGTGAGTCGAACACATGACAGCCAGTTTGGTGTAGTGGTTAAGACAGTGTTGTCCAAACTTGGCCGCTTTAAGATGAGTGGACTTCAACTCCCAGAATTCCCCAGCCAGCATGGCTGGCTGGGGAATT